ATGATGATTCGGGTTGTTTGAACTCTACCCTAGCCTGGGCTTCTTCTTCTCATTTTAGTTCTTTTTCTTCTTCTTTACTTTCTTCGGTATCCGCTCCCTACCATGGCTCCGGAGCTCCGGGGCTTCCTATTCCCAGATTGGCCCCATGGTGTCGCCAACGTTGTGCCTGAGCTCAGAGAGGCCGATTACCAGAAAGAGGTGTTCAAATCGTCTACCGATAATTACGAGGCCTACCTCGACGAACTCATTATGAAGGCAGAAAAACTTGGCATCTCCTTTGCCCGACCGCCCTCGATCAACTCGATGCCTGACGACGACCACGACACTTCGGGTGCCGATTCGAATGCGACTTTAGATGTCACCCGTGCGCGCACAGTTTCCACAGGGTCACGGGTGTCTGCAAGTACTTCTCTTACCTCGCATTCATCAAACAGTGGCCACGGCCATACTGGCAAGGTCCTCACAAGAAAACGGTCACAAGGACTGACATTCATGCAATATGAGAGCTACCTGTCCCATATTAAGCCGAACGTTGGCACATCCAAATTCTTAGCATCCCCGATTGCTGAACCAACGCCCAGTGTTTTTAGTGTGAGCACGAGGAAAAGCTACAAGATACTTCGGGAAGGCATCTCAAAGCTACGGGAACGGAGGAAAACGGTAGCCGTGGTTAGGTGAGTCTACATTACATTGGCTACTCGACCATGTGAGACGGGAAGGGTGTAGATAGGTGACTGATGCTTAGTTCACAGCTCCTGTAGCGCATGTCGTGAAGACATGCAACCCAAACAACGGTTGCAAAAGCTGCCCTGCGGCCATAGCTACTGTCACGCCTGCCTACGTATCATGGTCAATCAAGCTACGGCCGAAGAATCCAATATGCCGCCGCGGTGTTGTACGCAACCCATACCGAGCCACGTCGTCAAGTCGATACTCTCACGGGAAGAGCAGACTAGATTCTTGAAGGCGGTTCTCCAATTCAATACCCCCTGGGAAGCCCGGGTCTTTTGCTCGAATCCGTTGTGTGGGGAGTTCATTCCACCACGCGCCAAGGTCGACCCGAAGCACCCCTTCAAAGTTGTGTGTCGCAAATGTCGGACGCGCGTATGCGTTATGTGCAAAAAGGATGCTCACCCTATCGGTCAAGACTGCCCAAATGATTGGGAGTTGGATGCTGTATTAAAAATAGGCGAGAGATCAGGTTGGCGGAGGTGTTATAAGTGCCGCACCTTAGTTGAGCTTGCCTATGGATGCACCCATATGACGTGTAGGTGCCGCGCTCAGTTCTGCTATATTTGCGGTGCCATCTGGGATCCTGTTGTCGGTTGCCCGAATTTCTGTAATGGTGATGAGGAGCTGGAACGAAGGAGGGAAATAGAGCAGGCACGCATTGCGGCGCTTGAGGCCGAAGAAGCTATTAAACAAGAGACAGCGGCGAGGGAAGAAGCTGAGGAACTGGAGACCGAGGCACGAACAAGAAGCTGTCGCGAGTTCAAGGTATTGCATGACGAGCAGGTTAAAGAGATGGAACGATTCAGGAATTTTGAACAGAAATCTAAATGGTTCCTTTGGACACGGCATGCACAGCAGAAGAACCTGCTTGTCGAAAAGCAATCGGCAGCCGTAGAGAAGATGCTTGAGCGCCATGCCAAGACGTCTGCGAATCTCGAGGATCGACAAGTCGCCGGTGAGATGGAGTTGCGCTACACGCTAGAACAAAGTGAAAAACACGTACGGGTGCGGCTAAAGCATATGGAGGCGTACTGCGATGGATTGGGCCACAACCCGAATTCGGATATGCCATCCCGAATCGTCACCGAAAGGGATCTGCGTGAACTCGGGCAACAATACAATCTCGAAAAGAACATGAAGCAACTCCATCAGGCTAAGATCAACGTGTTGCGGGATCGGCAGGCTAAGGCTTTGGAGCAACTGCTGGAAAGACAGGAATTCGAGGTGGAAAGACTGAGGGAGAAGAACGTTAGAGAGGTAGAGCATCTCGAGTCGAGCTTTGGGGATGAAGAAGACTGCCTGGCTACGACATTCAGTGCGCGCCAATCGATGCTCGAAACACGCTGGAAACTGGAGATGGAGATCGTGCGGAAAGAATTGGAGAATGAACGAGGTAAGAGGTACAACTTGTTACCCCCGCTGGAGTGGCCACAGGACAAAGAGGTATTTGAGGACAGCCTCCCCGCTGTGGAAGAGTGATTGGTTCGAAGGAACTTGGACCTTCAACTACATACGCCACGCGAATGGTATCCTTTGGACCCAGTCGTATTACAATCACACAAGTCTCAGCTGCTTATTGATGATCTGCCCATCGGTGTTGCAGACTTGAATTTGCTTTCATTTGTTCCCATCAGCTCAAGCGAGATATACCCAGGTGGCGGCAAAGTGTTTTATGTATCACAAGAAGGCGTTGACAGCATTTGCGGCTATGCATTGGACGCAGAGAACATTGGCGGCGTTCGGATTGACATATCTGTGGTTAGTAGCTACCTGATAAGTGTCTGAAAATTGTTGCCAGAGGGTAGCCCAGCATAGTCAGCCAAAGTGTCTACTGGGTCAAGGATTGCGAGGCATTTTTTGCTACTTGCTAGTCAATTCAACTCTTTAGAGCCATTCAAGCAGTGCGATGCGAAATTTAATGGGACAATGCAAGATTTATTAAATTTAGAGCTTGATTAACATTAAAAATGTTGGCTTTCAGTAAAACAAGTTTCTTAATCATAATTTGCATTAGCTACATAGATGCGCGCTTGTAAACTTTGTGTATAGCTACGACCAAAGGTACCTTTGACATCGTATACCGGCGATCGCATCGAGAATACTCGATACAAAAGCTCTCGTTTATCACTGCCGACAACAAGGCTCCCCCGCACGCGTATGTAACGAAAAGACTTTTAAGCGCAACTGATGCTGCTAATTCGTAGATCTGGATGATAGTCAGTTGAGGTGAAACATTCCGAATCTCAAATGACAATGAGGTACAAGAGAAGGCTGTCAGAATATGTAAGAAATAACTATCAGTTTTCTAGCCGATATAGCAGCTCCGGCGAGAGCGCCATCGAAATAGAATCAATCGCAAATTACCTCATCAGAAGCAATGGGAAGAAAGGAAATAACATTGTTGCTTGAATGGTGCTTACCTATAAGGCATCACTTGGATGGATACTCAAGTGTTGCTGTTGCTTGACAAGATCAGATAACAAGATTAGTGCAGACAGCAAGGCAATTTGAGAAGAGACAGAGAAGGGTTTTCGCCTTTTATAGTTGCTGTTGAAGTATTTTCGATAGAGCTACAGCAAATGAGAGCCCACTCGCGACCCGCAATATTGCGTGCTCTCATTGGACAGGGATCGCTAGTGGCTGGCAAGGGCGCTGCCCAGACTTGGCAGCTGACAGCTGGCGGCTCGGGTGGCGGCTGGTACCCCCAGATTTGGTGCACACAGGAAATTTTGAGAAAGTGCGAACAAAAATCCATCATCCCGGAATCCCCTCCAACGACAGCAAGACGACACCAATTGAGCCTCACACCGCGGCATCTTTGCACCCACCACTCAATCTGTAAGTACAACCACACGGCCACCCGCGAGGATACCTCTACCCGGACACCTTCCACACACAGCCACAAGTACGAGTGGGCTCCAATTCCTATCGTTGCAATCTTGAGCCCTCATTCGATAAATGCACTACACATAACACATCACGTACCTCGAGCTGGGCTTCACAACGCTTCCGTCGCTACACCTGGCAACAAGAACTCAATACCACTGACACCGTTTTTCTGACCATTAGCTGCACAGAAACTTGTCACCATGTCCGCGTCCGTTGAGTCCCCGTCGTGGCGAACCGTCGAGGTCGGTCGCCTCGTCCTCGTCAATAACGGCCCCTACACTGGCCGGATCGCCGCCATTGTCGAGATCATCTCCGAGAAGCGCGTAAGTGTCGCCTGGCGTTTGGGAAGCGAGAAGAGCGGGAAAGCAAGAAGCGGTGGTTGACATGACAATCTGCGTCTAGGTTCTGGTTGATGGACCCAGCTCCGAGGAGAAGTTCGCCGTTCCCAAGGGACCCATCGCCCTGACCGATGTGCTCCTTACCGACCTCAAGCTCGAGATACCCCGCGCTCTCCGAACGGGCACGCTGAAGAAGTTCTGGGAGAAGGCCGAGATCGACAAGAAGTGGCAGGACAGCAAGTGGGCCCAGCGCAGCCAACGGACAGAGCGCAGAAAAGCTCTGACCGACTTCCAACGCTTCCAGCTCCTCCGCGCCAAGAAGCAGCAGCGATATGAGGTCCGCAAGGCTCTCGCCAAGGTCAAGGCCACAGCATAGATTTGAGGGGGATAGAAGGGATGGCGCTTGATTCTTGTGAAGGAACAAGAGGCTCTCACGGCGGGAGCGGTTTCGGTCTTTTGCATGGCACACGGGCACGGGGTTGACGGATTCCTTTTGCTGCATTGTCTGGCAAGACCTGTATGTCACACACAAAAATTATTTCTGAGGTGACCGGCGTCAATGATTACGGACCATTCACAAGCATTTTGATGATACGTTCTCTTCATCGGGCATTGACGTTATACTTGTGTAGTGTAGAACAGCAGATTTGGAAAGACGGAGACTGCCATTGTGCTCTGCTTCGCCTCTACGCGACGCATGTACCTAGATACTCGTCCTGTCGCATGATGCAATAGCCTATACCGCCCCGCGAGTGAAGTTTGGTTGAAACGCCCGCAAGAGCTAAATCAAAATGATGCAACCAATTCGCTGCTTCTATTTCCTCTTCTAGTCTTAGATGACGTATATACTACAACCAGCAAGTAAGTATTTGCCAATAGGCGAGCCGAATAGAGTGAATGTAAGACAACTAAACATGATACTGGCCGAATTCACTAAGACTGTAGCTCCCAACACTGAGCCACCCAAACCATGCAGTTCAAAAAGGAAAAAAACACTACTCTAATGACGCATCTTATGCACAACATCGAATGCTGATGGATTGGTCCCAGTGAGGCTTGAACTCACGGCCTTCGCATTACCAATGTTATAATGATATTATAATATTAGTACGACGCTCTGACCAACTCCGGTATGAGACCGTATACTGAGGCGGATGCTAGGTTTCTTTACAACACCAACGTGGCACTGTTCAAATCGTGGACCACTTGTAAGTAATCACTTGCAGCACTGGTACGTTAACCTTAGAAGTTCATCTCTAGACTCTATTACTGATATTAGCACCTTAACTAAATTAGATCAATTATTGTGGGCGCTAAGGTCCCATATATTGAGACTTGTATTGTCCCAGTATTGTACATGCATGATTTCGTAGTGTACGATACACGAGGGGGTTTCTATTTGTACTATTTCTTGTTTCTATAAAGTTATGATGAATACCTTACCCAGTGTGCATTATTCGGTCTAAGTTCCAAGTTCTCTTTAACATAGACACTGCGATCGATTCAAGGTCTATCTTGGCAGCTCTGTGGCAGACACATAAGGTAGGCTCTTCGGGAGTTGTAGGCTTAATATATACCGGATTATATCAATTCATCTCGCTTCTCTGCAGGCTATCTCTTTGCTATCCTACCTGTTACGATGCCCATAAAACCCGATCTGAAGGACCCATAAACTTGAATTTGACAGGAGTGAATGGATCTCTCCCGTGATAAGTAGATTCGTCAATCGGGGCCAATCGTTATAGCCGGCACAGCACCGGCGTGCCGGGCGTGTGGCTGGAGGGGGCGGGGTGTGGGCGGTCGGGCCACCTGCGATAACCCTAGCCAAACAATTGACATCAATTTGTGAACCGGTGCCGCAACTTTTCCTCGCCAAATTCCAGGTACACCGAGCGACACTATCCCCCACTACCTCTTCCCTGTAATAACCTCCCGGTTGTGACCTTTGTGATTGCTGTCGCTGCTGCATGTGAGTGTACTTTCTATTGGCACATTTCCGTTTCTCCTTCTCACTTTTTCCATGGCTCCTTAGAGCTTGCCGCTATTGGGCTGCAGTTGGTCTGTGTTTGTTGCGCCGAATTGCTGCCACACTACATTCGCTAGCCTCGCTTCCTCTGCCAGCCTTCTCCGCCTGCATCTGAACTAATTGTCGTCGCTTTTGCCAGTATATTCTACCTCCACCATGGCCAACCCACGTGTCGAAGAGCTCCCCGATGAGGAGCCCCAGAAGGTCAATATCGAAGAGCAGGACGACGACGACAGCTCCGACTCTGAGATCGAGGCCGGCGAGAGTGGCCCGACCGGCTCCAATGCCATCATCCACTCCCGCAACGAGAAGAAGGCTCGCAAGGCCATTGAGAAGCTTCACCTCACCCGTGTCAGCGGCATCACCCGTGTCACCCTTCGCCGCCCCAAGAACGTGAGTGGAAATATTTCGCTACATTGTAGGGAATGGACTGCAGCTGGCTTCTGCCACGTGGCGGGGTCAGCCTACCGCCAAAGAGTTCTCATGAACAAGGTCGAATAGACCTGGCTCTCCTTATGAACCACAATCGCCTGGAAGCTCGCGTGGTGTCTTGCTGACTAGATTATCTCAGATCCTCTTTGTGATTAACAACCCCGAAGTATATAAGTCACCTAACAGCAACACTTATATGTGAGCAGTTGGATAACTCGGCGCAAAGCGAAACTCACAACTAATTATCAACCTAGTGTCTTCGGTGAGGCCAAGATCGAGGATCTCAACTCGGCTGCCCAGCAAGCTGCTGCTCAGTCACTCGCTGCCCAGGGCGGAGAGCACGACCACGCTGGCCACGACCACAGCCACGGCGACGCCAGCAAGGCTGTTGAGGGTGCCGAGGACAAGAAGGACGATGACGATGATGACGAAGAGGAGGATGCGGATGGTCTGGAGGATAAGGACATTGAGCTTGTCATGACACAGGCAACGGTTTCCCGCGCAAAGGCAATTAAGGCACTGAAGGAAAATGACAATGACATAGTAAATTCTATCATGGCGCTTAGCGTCTAAGAATTTTAGTATAGGAGGTCTATGCCAGTATTTTTGTCATAAGCTGCAATTTCGGTCGGTTAGGTGCATTACGACAGAATCGTTATGCGCGGACCGGATATATATACGGACCGCGAAAGGAGTATTCGCCTGAATGTGTTACGATAATTATGATACCTTGCAAAATGGAGCTTCAGGATCATCGTAATATTCTTATAGCGACCTAGACATGCAACTGGCGACGAGCAATCCGTATCACACATCACGCTTTTGTTACCCAAGGGCACGTTTTGCGGCTCAATCGTACCCCGCGCCACGAACCTTTTAACTAGGAAGATGAGGAGCAGATGCGCATGAAAGATCAGTGAATGATAAAATTTAGTGCTGCAGATCCGCATATGCATATACATGTAGTGGATTGGTCACGTGATACAGGTCACGGGATCCGAGGTCCGGGGGTGCTCCATCCCATACGCCGAGTCCTTCGGCAAAGACAAAGCAACCTTTGCTGCGAATTGCTTCAGATCTCCACTCATTTACGATTCCTCATCACACCGCAACCATGGCCGCACCTGCAGTAAGTGCTTTCGGGATTATTGAGTCGCAGTAGAGTTTTGTTTGCTTTCTCGATGAATCTACCGGGGGCAATTGGTCTGCTAATCCCAATTGCTTGCCCACGATGCGCTTCGCAAACAGATGAGCTAATTTTCTCTCTTCCGCCAACCCGCAGCGCAGCGCAGCCCTGAAGCTCGACTGGGCCAAGGTCACCTCCTCGCTCGGCCTCCGCGGCCAGACCGTTGCCTCCCTGCAAGCGTTCAAGCAGCGCAACGAGAACGCCCGCCGCAAGGTGCAGCTCCTCTCCGAGCAGTCGACCACGGTTGACTTCGCCCACTACCGCTCCACCCTCAAGAACCAGGCCGTCATCAACGAGATCGAGAAGCGATTTAGCTCATTCCAGCCCGCCAAGTACGACGTCGCCCGCCAGCTCAAGGCCATCGAGGCCTTCGAGGTCGAAGCCGTCAAGAACGCCCAGGCCACCAAGGAGAAGGTCGACCTTGAGCTCAAGGACCTCGAAGCCACCTTAACGAACATTGAGACGACCCGGCCGTTCGAGGAGCTCACTGTGGTATGTTGCGGGTCTATCCGTTCGATGACGATTGTAGTCACGAGTCGGAAGATGATGGTTGACCTTGCGCGTTATAGGACGACGTTGCTAATGCCGAGCCCTCCATCGACGAGAAGACTGCGAAGTTGGTTTCCAAGGGCCGCTGGTCCGTTCCCGGATACAAGGTATGGTCTTTGCCTCACGGATGGTTTCAATCCAAAATATGGGAATACACGTACTGACCCCCCTCTGCAGGAGAAATTCGGCGACCTTTCCGTACTATAGACAGCATGATGCATACCACCGCGTTCTTCCCTTTGTGTACTCTAGCATTGTAGATAGTCAGCCCGGAGAGGTCATGGCACTGGAATCACATCATTAATTCCCAAATTCCACGCGCGCACACGGCATCAGCCGCATCTCGTGAAGCTGTTTGATTTTATCTACTACCAAGGCTTACTACGGTCCGTCCGGAACACACGTTTACTGTGGCTCGTGTGTCTACCGCCATCGCCGTTCCTATCGTACCTCGCTATTCGACTTGTGTGTTACGGTACCTAACCATAGTATGCATCGACCAAGGTTTCACTTTTTTGTCAATTCAACGAAGACCTCTTGGCGGAATTTGGTAGTGGATTCGTTGATGATCCAGCCCCTCCGTTAGAGTGGTGTATTCGTATATTACGACCAACAGCACATACGACTTTTTCTCAATGATAAATATCATGGTCTTGAATTTCCCTTTTTCTTGCGGGTTATCATCTTAGACTAGCTTCTTGTAAAAGCACAGCGCTAGCCGCCATACAAAAGAGAGACGGTGATGTGCCGCACCCCTAGATTAAGAGCAGCATCCTTCCCACTTCGCTATTGTACCGCTGAGTCTGACCGAACTACAAAGCTGACTGGATTGCCATAAGGGCGTTTTTAATCGGAACTGTACAGTTTGGTGCTTCGGCTTCTGTCTCATCGAAGCCTCGCTTTTTTTTCTTTTTCTTTTATAAAGAGAGAGAGAGAGACTCTCTACGCTATCATCATATTGCCTCTCATTGCACCTGTATATTACCTATTCTACGATGATGCTTTTAACATAACCTCCACTAGACCAAAATCACGCTACCATTAGTGAATGTATAATAAACATTGAAATTCATGTATTATATGCCCTGTTCAGCCTTCGTTGATTGGTTCGCGTGTTGCGGTAGCTTTGGGGGGGGGGGGGGGTCGTGGAAGCATAAATTATGGCATATTCTAGGTAGCTTTGTTTAACTTTTCGAAGCAGAAAAAAGTATACATTTGGTTTAGTTGTGTTTAGGTTTGTGTAAGTATTTATTAACATT